GAAGTATCCAATTTCAAAAACCTACACACCGATAGAACCCTCTTGACTTCCGATTTCAAAAACTGTATAACACTTGTCACTTCACTTAATATTTAATATTAGAATTCAATCCAAAACAGAGCTAAAAATCCTGCTGCTTCTATTTCGCTTTTCAATTTTCGAATGATTCTCAAGCCATAGTCTTATGCAAATCATGCCGTGTGGCGTAATTGTCTGCTGACCAATCAGTGGCTGTACTTTCAAAAAGCCAACGGCCACTTTCAACCATCTGTCGATGACCGTTACGACTAAAAAAACTTCGCTAGGTCTTACTTTCAGGGGGAGGTCTTACATTTCGCAATTCAGCAAAATGTAGACCTCCCCCTAGGTCTTATTTTCTGCGGATAGGTCTTATTTTCTGCGGATATAATGCTAGGTCTTATTTTCTGCGGATGTCTTATTTTCGGGGAAACACGGTAGTTGAGTTACTCAGTTAAGTTGGGTTCTATCGATGTTTGATGTCCTGGATGAATCCATTACCAGCATGAGAATAGCCCTTTTAAAGCAGATGGAATTAATAACATAAATTCAAACTTGAAAAATGTAAAATTTTTTTAAAGATAGCAGTACAGTACTTTTAAATTTACAATTAATTTAAGTTTAATATTTTTTCTGTGTTTTTATGTTAAGGACATTACGCTTTTTTCTCTTGTTTATGAACGTGAAAAAAATACAAATATGTAAATACAGATGTATATTACAGATTTATTTTCCAAATCGTTTTTCGTGCTTTCTTTTAACCTATATATGAGATATGTAACAATGATTATGGAGGCGGAGATGTAACAGAGCAATAAGGGTTATCTGGAATAATTGTCTAAAAAGTACAATGAGAATAAACAAAAATCCCTTATACCGGTGAAATGTTCTAAAACATTCACGATACATATAGAAGAAAATTTTGAGGACATATTCAATAACCGAATTATGACTTTTTTCTTCTAGAACAATCCACAATAATGTATCATAAGTCAGCGATTGATCCTTTGCCCGTTTGTGTATCTGATTTATATTTTAAACCTCTTTTATTTTTGTTTTTAGCATTTAATTTTATCACAAATTTAGATATATCACCAAGAAAAAGTTTAGTTCAAAAACTCACATCTACGGTACACGTAGCGCTGCAATTTCATAATGTGTTACAACGTTGAATGGAAAAGCAGCATTAGCATTACAAGGCGCATAAATTATCATCATTGCCGGTCTGCGATAATGCAAATGATATTTCATATATTATAGGAAGTTATATACCCAGAAATTGACAAGGGTATACTATAAATTTGCTATGGTTATTTCTGCCGCTTGAAGCGCCACAATTTCCGTAGTGGTGGGTTTGAAAACTAAATAATATGCTGCGGAAGTTTTTCTGTATGTACGGAAACAGCAGTGTACAAAGTATGATTTAATTTGGACTACTTGTATCTATACAAAATTACATATACGCATTTCCTAGAAAGCAAGAAATGATTCAGCACGGTTCAACAAGAATAAAATTAACAGTTCAGAAGTAACTAAACTTCCTCTGTTTTGATAATTTCGTTCTTGTTGCTGTGTGGTAAGGCTTCCACAATAACACAACCCAGTAATAACAGAAACCTTATGTTAAAAAGATTCTTTTGATGCTGACAGGGCGGGGAGAGTTAAAAAAATAATTATGTTTTGCCAAGTATATAAAGAATTCATAAAATACTGATAAATACTAAAAAATAATACAAGATCTTACCAATAAATTTTTTATCGAATGTACCAGATTTTTGTAAGTGGTTTAATACAACTCTTAAAACTTTCTGTCGATGATCCTCAGATTTACAAGGCATTATTAGTGATATTTGTATTATTGCACCGTTTCTTGTTCTCTTTACAAAATGAGTGCTAGAAGATTTATTAAGCCTTGATTCTAAGTCATAGGATGGTTTAGCATCTTCGGGAATTCCTACTATACTCTATTAAAATACAGTTCTATTAATATCGTTATTTCATTTATAAAAATCCGAATAAATTAGAATGTAAATTCTTCAACAGTAAAATTGCAATACAATGAAAGAAAAGGCGTCAGTTTATGGAATTATAAAAATGAGGGGTCTGTGATATGTGAATAATTAAACTTCAGTAGCGAATTATTTCACAGATAGTAATGAAATAAGCATGAAAATGGTTACACTGGAAATACGCCACTGCATTATGAGACAGGAATAAATGCAGAAAAATTTGTTAGAAGTTTACATTATTCCCAGAATGCAAAGAATTGAAATACAACGCCATTTGATTGGTATCTACCAGAACATTATCGTTCAATTTAGATAAGTAGGATTGTCATCAATTCCAATTCTACTTATTTGTGCTTTAGAGTCATTATCGTGCAACGCTAAATGGTACTGTAAATTCAGGAACACTCAGGAAATGTTGACATGGGAGTGGTGTACGGAAGCAAAGATTAGAGACACATTTAAAACATTATTAATACACAAGTGCATAATTCATCTGCTGCTGAAGGGAGATTAATTAAGGCTCATATCTAGAATCCTGGTATTGTAACTATAACTGCGCAAACAATTAAGAAACATTTGCATGAGATTGGCTTCCAAGTCAAACAACATGCAAAAGTGTACCATTAACTCTGTGATACAGGACTCAATGCATGATCTTGTAGAGAACTCGACAAACTAAAAATTCGAGCTGAGACATGCATCATTCATCAACAAACCCTGCTTCTGTCTACATTAAAATCTATTGCAACATAGACAGAAGTGGAAGCAAGATAATTTAAAGCAACGCTATATTAAAACCTTTATCAAGGGAAAGCAGAGTGCTAACACGCAGTATTATGATTTAACATGAGAATATGTGTGACAAACAGGCACTCTTTGTGCATATTTTATATTTATCAGCACAAAAACGTCATATGCACAGACTTGTTACCAAATAAGCCTATATAGTACTTTATCGGTTGACAACTTCACTGGAAACTTCTTCTTATAATCTGTACAGTACGTATACTCGTACTGTACACTCGTACACTCGTACGTACTGTACGAGTGTACAGTACGTACACTCGTACTGTACAGATTAAAAGTATTATTAAGTAAATGAACTTGCTTGGAAACTCTTTTGCTTATTTTTGATGGTTTGCATATTTCAAGCAACTCTTCCTTTCCTGCGAATTTCGTAAAACTGTGCCTTTTCTTTAAGGTGTTGTAATTTGACTTTTGAGGGTTATAACTAATTAAACTGAATTTTACTAAATAATATAGTATTTTTTATATACCTTTTGATATTGAACGTAAATATGGATTTCTACATCGTTGCGTTTTTTTCCAATAGAACTTTTAATTAATTCAGCAATAAAAGAACTCGGTGTATAAGAATAGAGTTTCATACTCAAAGATAATCTTGCATCAATATCATAAAGATCTCTGACGTCTTTAGGAATTTCGATCACTTTATATTGTGAAGAATATTTCTCATCAATTTTTACCTTAAAAATATAAATTTATATATTTTAACAATTAANAGTGCCATAAATAGGAAAATCTCCCTGTTCATAATTTTTGTAATCAAAAGTATTTCCAACCATAGCATATGTAAACAATACTGGTAAAATGATTGCCATTTCTGCAGATTAATTCTATATTTACAAAATAATATTAATAAATGTATTGAGTAATTTCAAAATCATTTAAATATTTAGATCTTCTGAAAAGTCAGTTAAACTAGATGGAAGCGATTAAATCTTAAATTATTTGATTATAACAAAAGTTTTATTTCAACAATTTTTTCAGCTTCACATAATAGCTTTCTCTAAATTTCTATACATTTACTTTGACCTAAAACTTTTGTAAAATTACACACATGAAAACTAATACAAAAACATTTTGAAGATTTCCACACGTGGATTCCGACTGTCAGAATCCAATCAACACTAGAATAGTCGACGTTTTCTTGTAGGTTTATTTCTGCCTACGTATAAAGCTACATATAAATAGTTTAAAAGTTACTGTGGCATAAGTTAATTGTAAAAATTTACTTTTGAGAGAGTAAGATCATAAAACACATGTAGAATACATCGAAATCTTATTATATTAGTTTTCATTTCTGTAATTTTATAATATAAATACATTGTAAAATTATTGTTTATTTTAGCTAGTCGGGTAGCCAAAAATAAGGCGTTATCATAACATTCTGGAGGATCGAGTTCGAATTTGGCCAGAAATTACCCGAAAATTCTTTGGATATATGTCGACGTCTTTTCTCACCACCTAGCTACTCTTTACAACCGTTACCATCATTTTCCTTACTTTTTCCTCTGTGGTCACACTGAGCGTTCCTCCTATCTATTGTAGTTTCCCACGCCTGTAAAGGGGATAGCCAGGTCGCCAGAATTTCTTATAATTTAGATTAAAAGGTTGGCAAACAAATGGCATATGTTACTTGAAAAAAAACGGAATTCATTATGCCAACTTCACAGACAACTTCACAAAAAACAGTAATAGATTGCGTGAGACTGGACAGGTGTCCTTCAAGTATCAGCTATTATAAAACGGTTTTAGAACTTTTTAAAGCGATCTTTAAAATATCACTTACCTGACTTTTAGGCTGACGTGTATATTAATTAAATTCGTATTAAAATTTCAGGTATATGAATAAATTTGTTATAATTTCGATTTAAAAAATACGGTTTTTTGTAATACTTACGTAACACGCAAATAATAAAAAACTGAAAATATCAAATGACCTGTGATAACATTTTATATAAAAATTTTATCGGGAATGATGTCAAACTCGTGAGAACTAACAAACGTTTTCTAGATAATTATTACTTCTCGAGTTGAAATGCGTGAGATAAAATATTAATTAATATATTATTGTTTAATAAATGTAAGTTTTTAAAATAAAGTTAAATAATTCAATAACAAGAATTTTATATAAATTAATTTATAAAATTCTTTTCACTATTCACTGAATATATTTTTAATTTTTAAATTACAAGCAATTTTATTCAAAGACGTACTTATAAATAATTATAACGGCACACTGGAAACTCCCAATTTTTTGGTTGATCGTCCCTTTTATTAATGTATGTTATAATTCACCAGAATAGAATTTTCCTAATTGCAGAAATTTTTTGTGAATGAAAAGTGTGAGTATTTGGAATTGGCAGTATTTGCGGTATTTCAATATTGATGTATATTTCTAAGTGAAATTTGTTGTTGGTCCGACACTGAACTCGGTTCGACTTTGGGACGAATTCTGAAAAATTTGTATCTTACAGCCGGGCATATAATATTATATCTCTTCAAACACGTATGTATGGAAAGAAGATTGTCTCTTAATGCCTACCACCTGCGGCCGAGTGGATAAAAGCAATAAATCTATTATATACTGTCCATACAATGTTCTCTCGGGAAGTACTTTTCTTTGGCAGATTGTCCAAGTGCCATTGCATTCTTCTATAAAAATAATCCAATTTCTCTTAATAACAGCAGAATAAGTAATAAAAAATTGTATTTATAATTATTTTTATCGAAGGTCGAGTGGTCCAAGTATAATATTAATAGTAAACATGTCAGTCTACGAATTATATTATGATGGGCAAATATCAAATCCAAGTATTTGGAAAATCGCAGGAATTTCCAAACACCTGGATTTCGCAGGAAAATCGCAGAAAATCGAAACCTGGTCCCGATTCTATTTCTGAACGTCTCCTGTTCACGTCCAGACAAACGAATTATTTTCAACGTTTCTGAAACGTTTACAAACGTTCTATAATCGAATCAATATTCGAATTTTATGTTCGAATTTGATTCGAACAAATTCGAACAAATTTGAACAAAACATTCGAAATAGAAAGCCACTTTCAACCACTTTCAGCCCCATATCTCCCGCACCCTTATAGCTATCGAGACGCAACCACCACGATGCACGAATGGAGACTTGGGGCTACCACCACATACAAACACCATTCACCTGCAATGTGTAGTTTTGGCGGAAAAGCGAAATATAGGGACATACATGTCCATTTATATATATAGATATAGATTTTAAAAATATCATTATAACTGCAGGGTTATCCAAAAGTCTGTTAACCAAGATGGAAGTGTCTATAAATTGGTTGATTAAATGTTGAACGTGTGCGAAGATAAAGGAAGCCGTGTGTATCTTCAATATGGTCAGACTTGATGACGATTTTACTAGTTATTAGCATTTACAACTTTTTAAAACACATCCCTATCCTCAAAATTAAGCTTTTTACAATTTTATAATAGATAAAATTTTAAAACATTTTAAATAAAACATCTTAACAGAAACGCCAACTGGGGAAGTTGAGCAACTCGTTGCTGGTTTTTTCGTTGAATTAACTGAATTTTTTTCCGCTTTTTTATCTTTCTTATTTAATCTTCAAACGCAGATCTAAATCGCATACTTCAAACTGTCGTATCTCTTGAAATCAGTTCTGTATCTAATAAGCATCAAATATGAGAGAAAATCAAATAAAATGTTGATTCTAGATGTTTTTAATTTTCAATATTTATTAAATTAATATTTATCTAAATTTATATTTATATTTATCTATATCTATATCTATAAAATAATATTTATCAATATTATAATTTACTGTGCATTAATACTACTTACACCCGATGTTATAGAAAATGTAACAAAGAACTTAATAAATTATAAATACTTTAAGCAAATAAAAGCATAATTACCGTAATTTTCAACCAACACAACAAAGAAGCACGGATTATACAGATGAATGTCACTCCGATCATTAAAACAAACGTCTATAATCGCTCAACCATATTAGTATCAAGAAATAAAAACAGATAAGGTATTCCACAAAAGTATAGAACCGTTGCAAATTCACTACACGAAGGTTAGGCATTACACGTATGATATAGCTACCTTTCTTATATTTGTAATTCATAAGAACGTAATTTGTTGCCATTCATAGTTTTCAATATCGCAGCATACAGCATAAATTGTAAAAAATTGATTTTAAGCAACACAAAAGTATAGAATCGACTAGTAAATAAATGCAGAAAGTATCAACTGCTACAAAATAAGTTCAATTTAGAAATTTATTTGGACACCTCCTTTACAAATAACATCGAAAATGAGATTTGGCATGCTATCATAAAGGATTTTGATGGTCGATGCCTCATGAGAGTTCCAAGCAGTTTTAAGTCATAAATTCGGTGAACCAAGATCCTGCAAACGCTTTCCATAGGTTTGCAATCAGGAAAACGAACTGGCTAATGCAGAAGTTCAATCCGTTTATTTTTAAATTACTGTTTCGTATCTCGTTATACATGGATGGATGCGTTGTCCTGTTGTAAAATAAGAGGAGTTATACTGAATCTATGTATGTATGGCAGAGATTTGTTCTCTGGAACTTGTTGATAGTCGGCACTGTTCGTGCGACAGGTAACGAATGCCAAATTTTATTTTTCCAATGCAAAAAAGCACACTAAACCATTACACTTTCACCACAGAAGATCCTTTGAAAAAAGTACTTGGGCTCTTTAATATAATCACGCCAGTAAAACACAAATCCATCAGGCCCATCCAAATTAAATATTGTTTTGTTCGAAAAAATTATTTTAATAACAAAAACGTTGTTATTTCTTATGCTAGCACGATAGGAATAAACCAGGGTTGTCCAATTATTTTACCTAATCGGCCAAATTAGAAATTTACCTATATTCAGCTGGTATATTCAAAGGTACTTTATATAAATATATATGCTTTTAAAAAGTTCAAAACGTGAATATCAAATTTTAATAACAAATACTGTATTTTTAGTAATTATATAAATTATTGTCAACAAAAAACATTATACTCCCAAAAAAAACAAGTTCAATGCGAGTTTTGACATTGCTTTCCTTTTATGATATTGTCAATACATGCTTTTATGGTACTATTCTTAATTCTAATAATGTTAGTTAAACGGAAATCACTCAACTTATTTCTTTCAATAGTTTTGATATCTTTCGTCCACGAAAAGAATTCTTCACAACAGTATGTGCAACCCCACTGCATAACAGTTATCTAGAAATAAAAAAAAACAGTTTTCTAGAACCAATTACATCATTACGACATCAAAACGTATGTAGTGAAATAAAAATAATTTTTAATGTATACTTTACCAAAATAAATAAAAACGTATCTATAAAGTGTGTAGGGTTCAGTGTGGCACGCGGGCCGCGGGTTGGACATTCCCTGGATTAAACGAAACAAAAAAAACTTACCTTATTCCATTCAGTTGCTATATTTTTCTTTGCAAAATCGACTGGAGGAGCTTTGTGCTCAGGTTCAAATGCAGGGGCACTTCTCATCTGCGACTGAACAATATTGTTGTTGTTGTGTAAAACCCTTAGAACTTCTTTCGTAATGTACAATACTTGAATACGCAATTTGTCTGCGGTCTCGTGGAATAAGCTTTGAACGTCGTCCACTTCTGAGCGTTGGACCATAATTTGAAAGGTTTCATAAATAATGCTGAACTATCTTTTTTGAACACTTGATGATGTTTGCTACTGTCTGATGACTTATACCAATGATTGCCAAAACTACAATTTATTCTTTCTGAAAGTCTGTTAAACGGGTACCAAGAGGCATGATGAACAAAATACTTTCAAACTTGAAATTTGCAAGAAGTATGGCGGTTCTGTACTTTGTAGCAGTATGTAAATTGATTTCATCGCTATTTCACTGTCAGCGACGAATTAATAGCTGAAGTTTTCTAGAATTACGTTTTTATAAGTCAGGTGCTGAATTACGCGTAAAAAAATCTACTGTATTTCTATCTGTATTTTAGGAAGAAGAGCAATGCTTAGAATAATAATAACACTAAACTCTAATTAATTCAGCATTTAAAAAACAAAAAAATACATTTTAATCAATAGTGAGAAAAGTTTCCTAATAGGAAACTTCTTTGACTGTAATTGTGTTGGTTACAAATTAACTTGCATGTGTGATAAGTATATTTCTCTGTTTTCTTTATTTCTTCGAAGTTAATATATAAAAATATATTTACTAAAATTGTTTCAATTTGGTATTGAAAACTTTTGTAAATTTCTAAAAATTAACGACTGGATATTATTATTGTAGTCTACTTTTTAAATTTGTCAAATGAACAATTATTGCACTAGAAAAGATTTTTAAAAGAGTAAAATTAACGACATTGAATTGTTTTTTTATACGCATAACTTATATCTTATACGCATTCTCGTATAAGATAACTTCTTACTAGAATGGAGGGGCAAATGAAGGAGTTTTGCAAGATATTAGCAAACAGAAAGTGGAAAGTGTGCTTAGGAAAATAAAGATGTGGAAACCCGTACGCACTGATAGAATTCCGGTTGAGGCTTGGAGAAGTTTGGGTAAGGAGGGAATTGACATCTTCTGGGACCTTTTCAAGAAACTATGGCAGCAGGAGAAGATCTCAGATGAATGGAGGAAAAGCATTCTGGTGCCAATCTTTAAAGGTACAGAGGATGAACAGAATTTCGGAAATTATAGAGGTATAAAGTTATTGTCCCAAACTATGAAGTTTTGGTAGAAAATTATAGAAAGAAAGATTAGGCAGGAATCTTAAGATTAGAAAGAAATAGTTTGGCTATTTGCCGGGAATGCGTACGACTGATGCTATCTTTGCTTTAAAACAGCTAATGGAAAGGCACAGGGAAATGAGGGAAGATTTGCACATGGTATTCATAGATCTAGAAAAGGCGTATGATAGGGTTGAGGAAAAATAATGTTCCAAG